GGATAATGGGCATTTAAGTGTGAATGGAATGGTGGGATGCACTAATGGAAATTATGGAATGGAATGGTGGGATGCACTAATTAGGAGGAAGAATTAGGGTGAAGGGCTTAATGCATGGATTTTGGGCCTAAAATGCCCCCCCTTGCATGGCAAGGGAAAGGACTTGGGCTAAAGCCCACGGCAATGGCTCTAAAATGGGCTAAGGTTAGGGTTTAGGTGCGGCATAGGCTTAGGGTCCACAAAGAGTTAGGGTTTAGGTCATCTAAAAGCCCAAAGCCAAGAATAGAAACTCACGACAATGGAAACCTCCAAGAATAGAAACTTCCAACTTTAGAAACTTTGGTTGCCAATTCCGACTTCTTTGCTCTTCACTTTCATTTCTTCATTTCTTGAACTCCTTTGACCTTCAACCACGTTCATTCCTCGTGCTCCATTTACATACACCACATTCCAGCTCAGTTTTGCTCCAAAAGCTCCAAATTGCATCATTTCATGTAATATGTCCTTTAAACCTGAAAACACATGAAAGTAGCTTAAAAGACTACTTTAAGGAAGAAAACATAACAAAAATGCATAAGAACTAGCTAACTAAGGCGCATAAATATGCTTCTATCATTGGCCCACGTCAGCCTGCCCCCTCTGCTTTAAATCCTGTGCCCGGCATCCCCATTTCAACTTCAGGGTCGCACCTCGTCATTCTTAAGCCCATCATTCTGGCCCGTGCTATCTCTTTTAGCATATATCTCTAGACTTGTGCCTTCGCCATCAATCAGACATTTTGGGCTTCTGCCCTTTCCTCCACAATATGCTACCTCAGTCTCTGCACCGGTGATCCATGAACTAGCTGTAGTTACTTCCTCAGTTGCCACTTTTACCTATTCCATGATCACTCGCTTAAATGAAGGGATCACTAAACCTAAAACCCACAATGAGGGCACTGTTTGGTATCTTATTCCGTATACTCTTTTAGCATTTCTTAAAACTGATGTACCTATGTGTTTTTCACAGGCTTCCAAACATCATCACTGGCGGCTTGCCATAACGAAGGAAATTAATGCTTTCTTGCGTAATTAGACATGGTCCCTTATTCATTCTCATCTAGGTCATAACACCGTTAGCTGTAAATAGGTCTTCCATAGTAAGCGTGATCTTGATGGCTCAGGCAAAAAGTATAAAGCTTGTTTTGTGGCCAAGGGTTTTCATTAGTAGTGTCACGCCTCAATCCTAAGATAAGTCCAAGATCGACATGTTACGTCACCTCGTACTTGTACGTCTATCATACCTCGCCTCCGGGATATGAACAAGACACCATTCAAGCTCCAATAGCTAACTTTGCGTTTACTCTATGGCTTGCCTACGTACCCTAAACAAGGATCAACCCATTCGTAATTCACCATATAATAAGTGCTGACATTTCTCATGCCACTATTTAGCAGAACCCATAAAGATTTCCGAATACTTAATTTCTGAAACTCATGCGCTTGATTCACTAAATTCCAAACTAGATAACGAAACATATGATTACTAGGATTGCCCTTCGTCAATCACATATATCATATTGCTTTCCAACAACAATTTCACATTCAAAATAAACAATCGAATAAAAAAAAAAATCAAAGATGCATAATATTGATGTTTAACTACGTTAATCAACCAATAAAATCATATATCACTTCGTTAAGTTTAGTATAGGTGACCCTTGTAAGTTGGTTGTATTACCCTACCTGAATTCAAAGCAATAACATATAACTCAGTTACCAACACAAACATAAGCTTGAGCTGGTTCTATGTTTCTACAATCTAGACTAACTCAAGGAATACCAAATATAATATGATCCCGGGCCACTCAACGGAATCGAGGCCAAGCGGGGTATCCAGACCACTCAACAATCTCACTCTAGAATATGTATGGTTCCCTAATGCGGATTAACCAAGCGGATCCATATGCATCCATCTAATTGGCAGTGACCCCCTAATTTGGATTAATCAAGCAGAGTCACCCTTATAATGCTAATGGTCCCCTAATGCGGATTAACCAAGCATGACCAACTATGGAACAAAGTAATCGTATGGGCAGTGACCCCCTAATGCAGAGTAGCCAAGCAGAGTCGCCCCTATAATGTGTATGTTCCCTTAATGTGGATTAGCCAAGGAGGCTACAACAGAGATATAACTAAAGTGGGAGGCTGGGGGTTGCAAAAAGAATGTAAGGAAAAAAATAAAGCTTTTAAGTGTTTTGTTGAGAGTTGAGTTGTGTGTCTTTAACTTCATGTTCTCTCGTAGCATTTATAACACCTTCTTCCTTTTGATTTAAGATCCCTTTGCTTAATGTGAGGAACAAGTGGTGGTTTCACACTTAACCTCTAAAAAGGTGTTTTTTCCCTCTACAAAACTCGTCGTAATAACCCCTACGAATGTTCAGTTTCCCGCCCAACCATGCCACGTTACCTAATATCTTGATCCACGGGCCGAGCTTTCGTCCTTAGCTTTTCTTGCTTCAAAGGTCTAGTGCCTTCCTAGGGCTTCACGTGTACATAGGCCACACTTGAGGCCCAATTTCCAATTTGGGTTCAAACAAAATGTTTAGCTAACAATAGATTGATCAATCTTGAAGCTTCTAAACCATCGCTTACTTGTGATCCTTGTCTCATAGGTAAGATTGCTCGAACTCCATTTGATGGAGTTAACTCACGAGTTATTGTTTTCGTTCCATAGTACTGAAAAGTGATGGAGTTAACTCACGAGTTATTGTTTTCGTTCCATAGTACTGAAAAGTCGAGCTGCACTGGAGCCGAAGTTTATGGAGTGATGCGTCGACTTTGAGCTTTGACATCGCATGGACTTGTTCGTCTGCATCTGTACCCTGAATCCGCATCACCGTCGTCGGCAACCTAACCGCTCTGTATCCAGATCATCTCCACCATCATGTTCACTCACTTGCACTCTACCACATGGCCACCGCACTATCACGCCTGCACCATTGTTTGACAAAGCCGAGACCCAATAAGCACTCAGATCGAGTTCATCTCCACCTTGCACAACAACCACTTGAATCCCTGCAAAAATTTGACGGTTTGCATCTGCACCGTATCGGCACCTGATGACCCGCACTCGCCCCTGTTTCTTTCCGCAACCATCTGAATTTGAACCACTGCCTAGGCCCTTTTGTACCTGCATCCCTCGCAATCTGCCAACCTCTACACCCACACATTTTGTGCTGGAGTTTCAATGAAGCTGCACAATGAATTAGGTTTGTTTGGTTGTAAAGAAAAACACTTGTTTTGCATGAATTGAAGGAATGTTAGGCAGAAAAAAAAAGACTTGGTTTGGTTTTTGGAGTTACACACGGGCAAGGAGAAGTAATTAGTTATTTTTAAGGCTTTGAGCTCAAGTTGGTGTTATTGGGTTCTGTTGTTTGAAGTTGTTGTTAGGCCTGGTTTCTTTAGAGGCCTACAATGAGTTTGTTGATGTTGTACAAGTTGTCTACTGTTGCCAACCGTGACAATCGCTCGAGTGTTTGGACATGTGATCACTCGAGTGACGTTGTGTATATGGGAACTAGAATTTTATTTTGTTCAGAAGCTCGCATTTGGCATTAGGAACGTTTGCACTAGCATTTATGTTTGTCTTGCACTGGCATTGGAATCTGGCACTGGCATTGGAATCTTGCGTTGGCATTGGCAGTAGCATTGACATTGGAAACTTGCACTTACATCGGTGGAATTTCCTATGGGAATTAGCAACGGAATTTAGCACAACAGAGCTTGCATTCACATCTGTCTGTTGGCAAATTCATGTCGTGTACTGCCATGAGTTTGATAGGAGTATTGGAAAATACTAGTATTTAGGTTTATTTTTATATATGGGTTTTGCTTGTTAGTTTAGACTTGAGCCCACCCCATCCGAGTTAGGGTTTCTTAGGTTTTGTTCTCTACAAATAGAGCTTTTAGTTTGGTATGATGAACAAGTTATTCACAATATAGTCATTTCAAGTTATGTAGCTGTCTCGACATTTTTGTTTATTTAATAATATTCTTATTATTTTGTAGTCTTATTTGTCGTACAATATTTAACTATATTTTCATCATACATACACCAGCATGTATTGAAACACTCTACATTTTATATTATATATTGAGATGAAGCTTATCTGTAGCTTTAGGGTTTAGGGGAAAGATGTATAACACTCGGAGATGATTACTAAATATACCGTAATCATCCCTGAGTTAAGGATGATGATTGTCTTCTTCTTCGGTTGGATCCTTTAAACGGCAATACCAGTACTACTAATTGCATGTACATATGACTTTAAATCATAAATTCATCAGCCACTCTTCCCTTCCGATTTGGATAGAGGAAGGCTGCTTATTTATTATTACATACGCACGAAAAAGAAATATTCACAGTTTACATGCAATGCCCCGACTAACGTAGATGTAGGAAGGCAGCTCATTATACAAACTAAACAACTTAGGTTAAAAATTAGAAGGCAATGCACTGTCTCACTCTCTTCAACTGGGTGCGTACACTTTCAAGTTTCACCATCATGCAGGGTTCCAGAAAAACGTTGTCTCAAGGCTTTCCGTCCAGCTTCATATCCCTGCAAGTCAATGATATAGAGCCTTTAACATAATTAGTTGATTATAGTACTTTGCTTGAGAGGTATATGTGCTAAGTAGTCATGAAAGCCATCTCAAGCTAAGAGCTAATGATTGCCGAATAGAGATGAACGGAATACTGTACGAACTTGTCCTGCATTGCGACAAGCTTGGCATCATTCTAAAACCATTTTCTTTTGAAGTCTGTCCTACAAATTCAAACACACATCTTAATCCTTGGATTTGTTATCAAATTGATTCTCCTCCCCAAATGGGAATTTCCAAACATGAATACTTGTACTGGTGCGTTTTGATTTACCACATAAGGTGGATATAAACAAAAACATATACACAACTGACTTGCGACTAGAGTATAGAAGACAATAAATTAAATTCAAATTCCTAAACAAACCTCCGTAAGCACAAATGGTACCAAGCTGCTGAAGAAGATGATGATGATGATGATGATGAGGTTGCAGTTTTGGTGGATTGCATCCTCATTTCCAGATCAGGGATATGTTCAATCTTTGGCCAATCACCTCTTTCCTTCCCACATCGTTCTATCAATGAGGGGCATCGTTGGATAGAGAGATGCAGAAGGGAGGTTGGTAACCCACCCTCTGGCAACGATTGGAGTGCAGGGCAATCCTCAATGTATAGATCATGGAGGGAGTCGAGTTTTTGGAGTACATCTGCTGGGCCAAATGACTTGAGCCTTGCACACGAGCCAATACTCAAATATTTAAGAGATGTTGGGAGGCCTTCAACTGGCAACGTTACAAGCTTAGGACAATTGTGGATGGAGAATGTTGTGAGGGAGGTGAATCCTTGGAACGACTTGTTTTGGTTGGATAAATACTCAAGAGCATTGCAGTCACGGACGGAGAGTGCTCTGAGTTGGGGGAGACCCCAATCTGGAAGACATATGAGGTTTGAGATATTGGAAATCACCAAGAACCGTAGACCAAAGACATCTATACGAGGTGGCAAACCCATTAAGGAGGCATGTGCAGAACATGCATCCAATGCCAGATGTTTCATGACATAGATAGAGTAGGAATACGAGAATATTTTGAATTCTGAATTGCACCCACTTGCTTCCAATTTCTCTGGACGGTAGTTTCTTGGCAACTTATGCAGCTTGGGGCAATTGATAATTTTGAGTTCAACCGTTGATGGTGGCCTGTCCCTGCCATCATAACCATCATTATCAGTGGCGGAGCAAGAAATCACTCTCAAGAGAGATCTTTAACACATAAAAATAATGAGACTAAATACAGCAATATAATCAATTGAAGAAATATTTAAGATTTCCTTTTTTTTTAATTTTTATTGTCATGAAAAATTTATCAAACAAGAGTGATGGAAAACAAAAACAGAAATTAGGCTGTATACGGTAAAATAGAAGGCAAGGTTTATAGACCTTGTTTTATATAAACAAAACAAAAAAAGAATTAGTTTTATATGGCAAAACAGAAGGATAATTATAACGTTTAGTTTAAAAAAGACAAAAATTCTTGACGTCAAAACCTTCGAACCCATGCCCTAATGGATTGCCAAAGTCCACTAACCAACGCAATACAAGCTTGTTATAGTAAAAGCTCCCAACAAATAAAAAATATATATATATATATAGACAGAAGTCTGACCCCCCAACAACAAGAAAAGGATTGGAAATATATTTGAAAAAGAAACAAAAAAACATACTGGAAATTTGTGTAAGTTGTGCAGACCGGTTAGACACCCCATGCTTCGTGGCAACATTAAGGTCTTGAACCAGAAAATTTCATCTAGCTCCAGATGTCTGAGGTTGACAAGATTTTTCAAGTTCTTGGGCAAATTAAAAATCCAAGGACAACGCAAAAGTTTCAGTGTCTCCAAATTGAAGAGGTTGCACACCGAATCAGGGAGCTTTCTGATTTCAGTTGTTGATAAATCGAGGTAGCGCAAGAGCTTCAGCCTCACAATTGAATTTGGCAGTGTGACAACGGTGCTTGAACTCATGTCTAGCACACACATATACATAAGCGAATGAATTATTTCACCTGTCCTTTCCCAAAGGCTCTCAGCTGCAAGTGTTGAACTGGAAGTAAAAGTGTGCGCAACTTCTTCGATTTGTTGACGATCTTTATTGTAGGCTTCTCAAGTTGTTCTTGAAGCAGTGATACATGACGAGACTTTTCGTCAAAATCTTTCATATCCTTAACTTGGCAAAAAAAGGGACTGCAAACCTGATTGTGCCAGGTCATGGATAAGATCATGCATCCTATACTTTGTGTTGTCTTCAGCTGAGCATTCGAAGAAGAACCTGTTTGACAGCTCCTTGAAGTATCGACTTCCGATGTCTTCTGTCCTCTCTCCCACTCTATGCTTAGGTGGTTGCATAAATCCTTCTGCCATCCATAACTTGATCAACTCATCCTTTTCATAAGGATACGATTTCGGAAACATGGAGCACAATGAAAAGCACTGCTTGTGATCTGGTGAGGGCAGGTGATTATAACTCAATCTAAGAGCAGGCAGTATTTGAGTATCTTCTACTCGTGCTTTCCATGTTTTACTTTCGGCAACATTTTTCCATTCTTTCAATTCTTTCCCACGTAACAGACCTGCTATTTGTTTTATAGCCAAAGGAAGATCCTGACACATACCTACAATTTCCTTCCCACAATTTTCTAACTCTCTATCGATCTTACTATCTTTTTTGAATGCCAATTCTTTAAACAACCACCATGACTCCTGACCACCTAAACATTGCAGAGAATAGGGTGACGCTGAATCCAGAATATTTGAAACTTTTTTCAGTCGACTAGTCACCAGAACCTTACTTCCGTAAGCCCCATGATTTAAGACCTTTACTAGTGGCTCCAATTCCTCATCTTTATGATTCCATAGGTCGTCTAGAACAAGTAAAAATCGTTTCTGAGTCAGAAGTTCAAGAATGCGAGTTTGTAGTTGGGCCAAGGAGAGAGGGGTATAATCAATAATCTCAGGACGAGTTTGTAATCGGTCCAAGGAGTTGGAGTACTGACGATCAAGGTCTTTTAGATGGGGCAAAGAGTAGAGATCATTAGGAGAACGTAGTTGGTTCCAATCGAGAGGACTGTCATCTTTAAACAAGGTTTGTAGTTTGGCCAAGAGGGTGAGATCAACAGGGGTTTCGGGTTGAGATTCTTTTTCCTTGATCATATCTTTTAAAGACTTTGTTGCTTTTCTTGTTTTCGAATTTAATGAACGCTCTAGAGAGACCAGTATTTCACTGAAAATCCTCTTCATGTCAAATTCGTTCCCCACAAAAACCCAAATTCTAAAATCGAAATACCCATCAACATCTTCATCGTTAAAGACAAGTTGGGCAAGAATTGTTTTACCCAATCCTCCCATCCCAACTTACAACTAACAACTAACCTGTCTTGAACAAGCCCAGTTCCAGATGTTTTTGAATGACTTTTTATCACTTCCTATGATGGTTTTGTTACTTTCGTAACGTTGTCCGTCTCGGTTAATTGCATCTATTCTTGATGTAATTTCTCTCAACTTAGACAATTCACAAGACAAAAAGAGAAATTTAAAGGCACAAAACGGAAGATGGAATTTTTGTACCTGCTGCTGCTTCATCTTCCACCGTTGATATTCTGTTGTCCAGCAGTCAATCAAAATCCTCCATATCATAAGATGCTGCTCGGAGCCTTTCGAGCCAATTCTTCAGGGGGGAAGTAGTAGAAGAATCCATCGGAGGATTTCCTACCAAAATTCCAAGCAACGTTTTAATTTCTGTAAAAGAATTCTTCAGCTTCTTTACCTCATCCTTGATATTGACGAATTCAGTAGTAGCAACATCAGTCAATTTCTTTATTGCAATCTCTACAAGAGGACTTGCAAGGCTGATAATTATGTCAGCCATGTTGCTTTTTTCTTCCGAATTAAAATGGAAAGCCGAAAACAGCAAATGGACAAGAAGAAACAAGGCTAAAAGAAAGGCAACACATATCTGGTGTGATTTGGAGTCTGGATAGACAATCCGGCTTTGTGTTTTTTGAATTAATGGATGATGCTTTGGTGAGAGTAATATATCATAGGCATGTGATACTTAAATCCTGGAACGATTTGATACTTTCCTTTGGTTGAAAAGATTGGAAGGCTTGAGCAGCACCAGAAGAATACTTGACAACACTCAAAGAACTTAGAATACTTGAACATACAGAACAATCAAGGAATGACTCGAGAAGAGAGGAGACCGAATTCCCGTCCTCTCTTTGTCATTGAACTTCCCAAAGAATAATTAGGATGTCATGGAAAACAGCTATTTCCAGTTAGTACCTTAGAAATTCACATAAACGTGAATCACTAGAAAATTTCAATGTTTCTGCAAGGAAAGTTTTCCCCGGTGAGCAAGCGACGAATTTTTCCTTGCTTCTAACCTCATCCCATGGAGATGCTCTAAAAACATTTAAACCTAACAGCCCTTAATCATAGCCCTCGAAAACGTGCGCTCGCCAAAGCGTCTTTTCCTCATCAATGCATTAAATCCGCCGCCGCACGCAATCGTGCAACCTAAAACCTCGAGAACCTCGATCCTATCCTTGGAGATTCACGAGATATCCGAAATGATTGGCCATTTCCCAGTCGATTTTTCCCTCAAATTTGAAAATCAAAACGCCTCAAATCATCAAACGTTTGACCTTCCTCTCAATACGCCTATAAATACCTGAAATCCTCCCATTCGTACATTTCATGCTTCCAGAAACCTTCGAAAAATCTCTCCGCCATTTTGCTTTCGAAATCCCAAAAAAACAAACTCTTATCCCAGAAATCCTCTCAAGCATTCCTCCAAAACTCTTCCAGGCTTTCCAAAATGACTTCCAACACCTTTATTTCCACAAGCTCAATGACGAATGCAACAAATGCCAAAGCTTTATCGAACGGAACGCCATCAAAACCCTGTGCTTCGAGAATGACCTGAGCACTACTCATCAAATCCTGGGGCCACTCTTCAAGGATGCAGTACCTTCGTCCATCACCACCCTCTTCAAGGCTCACTGCCTGACACCCTTATTACAAGGGTTTGACTGGTTAAAGTGGGACCTATTGAAGCCCCAAGGAGCCTGGCCTACGCTAAATGCTAACTGGGAGGCTTGGGTTGTCCGAATGGAAAATTTCTTTGGCCAAGAGTGGAAGGCTCTTGGTATCTACATTGCCATCAAACTCTCGACCATGGAGCTAGCTATGGATAAAGAACTCATTATGGCAGCGCTGAGTCTCTAGTGCTCGACCACCAACACCATGGTCCTTCCTTTGGCCCTCTCACTCCTACCATCCTCGATGTCTCGGTTATTCTTGGGACTTCTCCCTCTGGCATCCCGATAGATGCCGCTCTTTTTGGACGCCCGTCGAATCTCGACCTTAAGGCGCTCTTCGACGATCGAGCCGTCGAAACATTGAGTCGAGATGGTCAAGAGCCTTCGAAAGAAGAGATTCAAAAGCTACACAAGAACTTCTTCAACTACAACACCGTCATCCTCCACTTCGCTGGTCGAGGCGAGGCAAGTCTTCGGAAGGGAGAACACGAAGCCTTCCTATTCTACTGGTACAACAAATTTATTTGTTGCACCCGGTTAAACAAGTGTTTGGTCGAGAACATGCCAGTGGCCGAAGCCCTGGCCAGTGGTCATACTCTGGCGCTTAGCTCAGCCGTTCTCGCTAATCTTCTTCGCTGCCTGGCCGAGGCGACTATTGGAAAAATTAACCCAAACTAGAACGATCCCCTCTGGGTTTTCCAACTCTGGCTACAAGTCTATTTTGCCAAACTTCGGCCAGACATCTCTACCTTCCAACCTATTACCTCACTTGGCATTCAGTTGGCATCTCGGTCACCTCTCCTTACTAGGCCGAAGAAGTCCTCAAGTACCTCTTTAGCCTAGAAGTCTTTTCCGACGACGAATTTTTAGTGTGTCGTCGTCAAAAGCACCCTTGCTCCATCAGGCTTCCAACATCAGCCTAGAGTGAAAGTCAAGATGCTGCCCTTCGCCAGAATTGGGGGTCGATCGTGCTAGCGCGTGACCTTCCCCGTGGTTGTGATTCTCGCCGAGCGAGTTGGGAAGTTTACCATCCCCACTTCACGGCTCGACAACTCGGATACCTTCAAGGTTGGCCGGTACCTCTACTTACTTCCGTTCTTTCCTCAACCGAGAACGCCTTTCTGGTTCATCGGAGAGAGAGTGCAGAGACTCCGAGAAAGAGTTTCAGGATCAGTGTAAAACATTTCGCCTCTGACCAACTATTCCTGAATCTCTTGGCATAGACATCTTCGACGACTGGTGGGAAGAGTACACTGGAGCCTTCTTTGGGGTTGCGGTCGAAAACGTCATCGACAAAATTTTCGACGATCGGCCAAAGAAAATCTCTGCCCCCCAATCCAAAAATCTGACCCGAGGTAGACGGCTACCTGTTCTTCTATTTCTCTTTTCTATTGTCATTGATCCTTGCTAATGTGACCTCGTTTTCTTAGATGGTCGGTCGTCGAAGAAAGTGGACGTGATCGTCGCGGCTGCGGCCAAGAAGAAATCTGCTCTCTCTAAGAGGAGCAAAACCACCGTGCAACCTTTACTAGGAAAACAGCCTCGTCCAGAAGCTGAAGTGGTCGGCGAAGCTCCCCGACCCTCAAAACGCGTCAAGAACTTGGCAAAAAAGGGGGAACGGGAGATCCACGTGATTTCCAGCGACACTAGTGGGACAACCGCAACTAGCAGTTCTCCCCCCACCTCGATTGTCCAGGCCCTAATGGAAGAACGGCCAATGGCATCCTGCCAAGCAACCCGGGTCGACCCTGGGGTCATGGCTGATTTAGGGACTACTCCGCTAGTCGAGGGACCTATAGTCATGGGGCTAACGGCTGCGCTTGCCCTGAAGAAAATAACCCAACTCGTCGGGAGAAATTTCCCAAAGAAACAGTTGGCTAATAATCTTAGAAGATGTATGACTATGTCACTAGTGACCCTTCTTCATTTTATCAAATTTACAAATGTTAACAGCTTTTTATTTTAGGACGATGAGAGCAACGAGGGTGACGAGATTCCGCTGGCGAGTCGCCCTTGACCAACCAGACCTACTGCCGCCAATCTTCCCCCCATGGTCGAGGCGGCTGTTCAATCGGATCCTCCTACTGCCGATCGTGGGAAAAGACCCCTGGTTGAGCCTAGAGGCGACTGACAAAAACACCGCTCCATCCACAAGATGAAAACCTCAACATTCCTCCACAAGAAGTTACCTCGGCTTTTGTAAGGCTCACTCCCTTTCTTTATTAATTTTATTATAACGCATCTGAACCCAGGAAAATATTAAATGTCAGGTGCCCGAACTGTTCATTTCACCGACAATTCTATGCGCCGAAGGGTGTGATCTACATTTCCTGGCCACCTCAGTGGCCATCAAATGTAGATAAACTTCATCGCTCGCAGTGAATTAAGAAGTAGTCTTAGACACTGGGCTCGGCCATTAAGTTCTCTAGGTTCAAGCAATGAACCAGAGGACATGGTTGAAGTCTCATCTCGACAGGTTTATAATCAAATTCCCTCTATTATGCATTCCATATGATTTTCCTTTTGCCTACCAATTTTCTTTTTTGTGCAGCCTTCGTGGGAGGTTGAGCTTGACGCCTTAATTACGACTACATCGAGAGCGGCTGGCTCCTCAACGACCGCAACCAAACCTTCTGTGCCAACGATCGAACCAGATGTCCTCGTCAAGCTGCAGGAACTGCTATCCCTTTCGGCATCACAAATTCTTGAGTGCCAGGGCCTCGACTCCAGTAGGGGCATATCTAAACGATCTTGCGGCTGATGGTCAGTTAAGTAACGAAGCCATTACTCGAGCATCTTCTACTCTGGAGCGAACTCGAGAATATTTCAGTATTTTCGAGAGAGCTCTTCAGCCAAAGACGACTTGAAAGCTGCAATGGTCATTCAAGAAGCTTTGCGTCCACAGGTTGACATGCTGAAGACGAAAAAGGAAGCGCTGGCCGACCTCGATTGTCAAATTACCGAACTTCAAAACTGAAGGTCGGCAATTTCTTCTGAGCTAGCAAGAGATTTTGAGTCGGGTGGCAAATCCTGCCTGATCAAATATGCGGCTAGTGTGTAGGCATGTCGAGCAGCTAAAGATGGACAAGAGGAATCGGCAAGTCGAGGTCACGATGGGTGAGGTGAGGTGGTTGGAATTGAAGGCTATTCTTGAAAGTCTCCTTCCCTCCTCACCTTAGGGATATTTAGCTATAAATGAATCGACCATTTATACTTGTATACTCATTTTTACGAGCTTATTAATGAAATAAACTATTCTTGCATCTACCATGTGATCGAATAATATTTCTTTAAAAATTTCCCATT